CACACACACACACACACACATTTTTAATTTTCTTTACTTGAGTTAATTTGGAAATAGATTTTAAATTAATTATGAATGTTAAATTTATGATTCAATGCAACAAAATAAACAAATTTAAAAAGTGAAAGATAATACCTAACAGGCCCCTGAACTGTTGATTTGAATAACTGTGCCCCCCTGAGCAATTCATTTGAATAGCTCTGTACTGACATCTCAAAATAGGCCACATTAAAGTCAGCATCAACCATAAACTACATCTCCCATGATGCATTGTGATTATTTCGCCTGCAAAATGAGGGCATCCCACTACTAGCTGGAGGTGCACAGGGTTCAAAAGTAGCTGCCTGCTGGCAAAATTCACTGTAAAATTTATATTTCACTGCATTTTCACTGTCAACTTTTGCTGCGGCCCATTTGTTCTGGGAAGTTAGAATTTCCTACTTGCAAGTTGTAAATTTAAACTAGGACACCCCTCTGGTGGGAATTCACTGTCAGAAAGTGGGAGAGTTCAGAATTCAGAACAGCAGCTACTCACCAGGACTTAACAGAGTAAAACTCTTTTATTTTCACTTTTAATAGTATTTCTGTTTTATTTATTTTACATTTAGTCAGTCATACACGTAGTACTCTTCAGTGTTTATAAGAGGACGTGTTAAAACAGTGTTTCAATGCAGGAAATACCAGGTAGAGCTCAGTGGTTGTTTGTTAGTGGTGCTCAGGGACGTAATGTTTTGTGTTTATTGAAAGTTAAATGCAAAACATTGAAGTTAATTACCACTGCCGTTCAAGGGCCACCATAATTCTCATGTGAGTTCCACACTCTTGATGTTAACAATCTGAAATTCTGTCTTTGCAGGGTCTTGGTAAAGTCTTCAAGTGGGTTTCCCATTACATTTTGACTAGAACAGAACAGAACCAAGTTGGATTTGTTCAAAACTTTCATTGGAAGATTTTTATAGTGTGTTTTTAAGGTGGTGATAGTAGTACACTATTTAAAGCCTGGGTGAAAATGTCCCAAATGTCCCGCTCAGACAAAAACACACTTCAGATCATTTTTTAAAAAGTTGCTCTAAATTTGCTCTTGTATGAAAATATATATCTATATATTTTAACACATTTACCTTCAATTACAGGGCGGCTATGGAACAATGGTAGGGCAGCCGATTTGGGACCAAAAAGGTTCAAGTTCAGCTCCCTGCCATGTCTGCATGTTGTGGTGTCCTTGAGCAAGTTTAAACTGCTCCTTGGGTGCTTAAATAACTACGGGTGTATTTTTCATCATTGTATGGAAACATGCACTGATGACAAGTAAAGTACGTTTACATTTATTAATTACTTCATGCTTAAAAATAGTTCAAGTTTACAACTGTGGTTAGCATTCTTAGTGAGCAGATTCTGGTTCCAAAAATACAAGATGGCAGCTCCTGTAAGCCAGGTCCAGCTAGTATTGTTTCTCAACAACAAGAGACGGTGAGGACATTTGTTCTTAGAGCTGGTGAAGAGTGTCTCAGAGATGCAGAAAATAGAGGACAAAAATGTACTTGTCTGTTAGTCATTTAAAGTTAACAGATTCTCTATATGGTGCCGTTTCTCCTCGAGGTGTTCCTCACTGTAAATCAAGATTTAAAAGTGTAAATTGTAACTAAAGAAGAAGAACCCAACCCATCTATGTTGCCTTTAACTCGATCAGGCATATTTCTAAAATTATATTTTTGTTTTGTGAGATAAGTTTAATCAGCACTGGATTAAATACTTGTGCAAAAAGAATAAAACCTGCATTTAAAAAATAGTTTAAATGTGAAAATGGATCAAAAATCATTTTACAGTAGCTGGATAAATTGTTTTAAAAAAACCAAAGTGATTTTTTTTCTGTTCAAAGCTGATTTTCAGAAACAATCACAGTCTCATGATATTGTTACTGATGCCACCACCAACCCCCTTTATTTTCTGAAGAATCTGTAATTTCTCCAAAAATGTTTCTAGCTCCATTTCAAAACGCCGTGATCTTTGAACCCTTATTTAGTTTTATTTCTCAACCTGTTTGCGGTTCAGACAGAGGGCACTGACTGATTGATTTCTGGGGTTGGAAACTTACAGGGGCATGTCCACGATGGTGGTCACTCCACCTGCAGCGGCCGCCCTGGTGGCCGTGCAGAAACCCTCCCACGAGGTGCGTCCCGGCTCATTAACGTGGACGTGACAATCTACGATCCCTGGCATCACCACGCTGTCACCCACATCCAGCACCTGCGGTCACAGCAAGCTTTCACAACTCCATCCACCCACCAGTCCTCAGACGAGCTGCATCAGTGCACCTGCTCTTCCACCGTTACAGGAACTCATAGCAGTGACAGCCAGCTTACCTCACAGCCAGCATCCTCTGTAAAGTCGCAGGAAGAGAGAATTTGACGTATTTTTCCATCTTTTATCAGAACAACAGCAGGACTTACTTCATTACCAACCAGTACTCGACTACTCCTAACAGCACTAACATGAGATCCGAGCTTCATGGCTGCCTTTACTGAGAGTTAACGGGTACAATAAACTCTCTGCACTTTGCTTTTCCATGTATTCTTATCAGTTCAGTGGCTGTGAGCTGAGACACCACCTCCAGCTGGTTTGTTGACATTTTTATTCAGCAGGGGACAAGCAGAGATACAACTCCGGTCAACCACATCAGGGTCAAAGTGTTTTATTGTGCTAACATGTATTAATAACAATCATATAATGTTAATCTGTAGCACAAACACACAAGGGAAGGAGAGAGGCTTTTCATTCTCTGGAGCAGAGAGGACACAGCTGAGGAGAAGCTATTTACCTGACCTTTCAGCTGTTTCTCGTTCAGAGGCAGTAGCTTGTTGCTGCTCACTAAAGCCTTCATAGGTGCATAAAAAGCCTTAACAACTCACCAGAATTACTTTAACCAGTGGCACAAAACGTGGGTTTGCACTGTATGTGGTGTGTAGTGCTTCACTGGATGCAATGTGGGAAAATAATTTTTACTCAGCATTTTCTGTATTGAACAGTTTTAACTTGTGTGATAATGATACACATGCATATATGATCGATAACGCTGTCAATCCACAGTATTCCTGACATTGTGCCATTACCCATGATTCATAGCAGAAGCTAGTTTTGTACTTCCGCTTGTGCCATTGTTTACGGTTGCAGGGGATACACTTTAATTGTTGATTAAAGTTTCTCTCACTGTAGTTTCCTTTATCTGCCGTAAATGGCAACACATCGGAGGTGGATACACTAAGGATGCTTTAAAAAGCGGCGAGGACAATGCATTCACAGTGCCTCACCCGTCACTTTTCACTAGGTAGATAACATGAAGCCATGGCCCGTTGTTAGTTGCATCAGCATTAATTACCTCATTGATGGCGAGGAATTACGTAATTATAAGAGCACCGAGGTGTATACAATGGGGGGAAAAGTATTTAGTCAGCCACCAATTGTGCAAGTTCTCCCACTTAAAAAGATCAAGTGTATTGATTAAGATGAACATAAACATCTGGTCTGTGATCATTTATTACACTATCATTTCTAAAAAAAAGACCACCGCATTTTCTAACAATCAACGCAAAATGTAATAATATTACATAATGCAGTCTTAGTGCAGTTTTATTATATTTTGAAGCACGATTTAATGACATTACATAATGTGACCTTACAAGCACCAACAGCGCTGAACATGAAGGAATAATGTTGGATGGAGTCAGATATCTTTTCTGTTTCTTTTTTTTTTTTACCCCCCAGAACAGCATAACTGAACATCTCACATTGTGACTGATTGACTACTTCTGTCGGTCACTCTTCTTCTCACACTCATAAATACACACGCTACATGTTGCTGTTCTTTGCAATTGTACAATTATAAATAGCAGACTAGCGCCACACAGTAGAGAAAACTAATTACTGCACTTCAATCAAAAGAACATGTTCAATATTTTCAACTTGAGTACACAAAACCAACCTCTCATCACAGTTTATGTTCACTGTAACATCATGTATTTTATGAGCATATAGTCTTTTTCTTTTTTTAATTATGTTTTTAATTTTGCCTCACTTTATGTAGTTCCCTAGTTTGTTATATTTAGAGCAAATTTGCCACTAAAACACACCATAAATCTGGAAAAAAGATTTACTTACTCAAAAACCTTACTTTACTTTAAATGAGGTACCAAAGTAGTGATCTAGCTTTGACACTTCTGAAGCATCAGAAGTTATTGATCACTTGATTTTTGCCAAACAAATCAAGCTCCGACACTGTTCTTTTGAAACAGTGTTGTTTTTTTCAGTATCCGGGGGTATGGCAGGCCATTTTAGAATCAGGTTCACCACACTTACATACACACAATATATTACACAATATATTTACTTTTATTTTCAATAGGCAAAATACTTATTTAAGATATTTCTAATTACATTCAGACTAGTATAAATGATTCCAGATTTATGTATGGAGGTGTAAGAATGTTCAGTTTGAAAACTTGAATTAAATGCAGGAAGCTGCTCAAGTACAATCAAGAACATTTATTTTGAACACATACAGTGTATCCTTTTACAGCGCTGGGCCAATTTTGACAATGTGAAGTTTGAGTGGACGACAGTGTCAAAGCAACCAAGAAAAACTGTAATAGATGTTTTAGTTATTTAAGATATCTTTAATTATATTCTGACTTCTCTAATTACATTCTGACCAATATAAATGACATCAGTTTTAACAGGTAGAGGAGAAGGCAGAGCACGTGATGCTCAGGTGGCTCTGCGGGGATGTTAAGCATCTTGTGAATTTGTATTTTAATATTGGTTTTACAAATAAAGAATTATTGAATCTTTGAACACCAGCATCAAATTATTGTCACAGGACTTTGAAACGAGTGTGCAAACCATATCTATCTATCTATCTATCTATCTATCTATCTATCTATCTATCTATCTATCTATCTATCTATCTATCTA